AGTGAAGGCCAGATAAAGAGCTTCACAGATAAGAAAAAGCTAAAGGAGTTCATCACCACCAAACCAGTATTATATGAGATGCTGAAGGGTATTCTTTAAGAAGAGGAAGAAAAAGAAAAAGGTAAAGATAAAAATGAACAACTAAGTGACAACAAATACATATCCATCATCAAGTGAATCTAAAAATCAAGTGAATAAAAAATCTGCTGGACTGGTGATTATAATAGGATCAGGGGCATAGAAAGGGAGTGGACTGACTATTCTTGAGGGGGAAAGGGGTGTGAGAGATGCAGGAAGAGACTGGACAAAAATCGTACATCTATGGATGAGGACAGTGGGTGGGGAGTGAGGGCAGAGGGTGGGGCAGGAACTGGGAGAAGGGGAGTTATGAGGGGGAAAAAGAGGAACAAATGTAATAATCTGAACAATAAAGATTTTAAAAAAAAAGAACTATCAATTGCAAATGCTGTATCTGGTGAAAATATCCCTCAAAAATGAATGAGAAATAAAAACATCCTCTGATGAACAAAGGGAATTTGTGGCTTGTAAACCTTTTCCTACAAGAATGGCTAGTTTTCTAAACAGAAAGAAACAAAAGATAGATAACAAAAGAAGACTTAGAACTTCAAAAAGAATATAAGAAGGATGAAAAGGGGTACATATAGTAAATTATCCTTTCCATGAGTTTCTTAAATCATATTTGATAAGAGAAGCAAAATATTTATTACCAAATGATGTGCTCAATGAATGTAAATATTTAGGACAACTGTGTTTAAAATGTGGGGAGGGTAAAGGGACATACATGGAAGTGAAGTTTTTATACTTGATAAGAAGTGGTAAGATATCATGGACACCACTCTGATAAATTATGTGTATACTAGAGGACCAGTGCACGAATTCCTGCATGGGTGGGTTCGGGCCGGCTCACCCTGATTGCAGCTGATCAGGGTGGGACTGGCCAGGGGGCGGGGCTGTGGGAGGTTGGCTGGCTGGCCCCACCCCCAATTGGGGTGGGGGGTGGTTGAGGGCAGGGCTGGCCAGGGGGGTTGGGGAGAGGGGCCACGGGAGGTTGGCCCACTGGCCCTGCCCAACTGGGATGGGGGGGGCCCATTGGGGCACGGGCTGGCCTGGGGGAGGGGCTGCAGGAGGTTGGCCAGCCAGCCCCACCCCCAATCGGCCATCATACCAACCGGTCATTCCAGTCGTTCTGGTCACTTGGCTTTTATATATATACTAGAGGCTCGATGCATGAAAATTCATGCAAAGGGCTCGGCCCTCGCAGCCCCAGCTTCATCTGGAAGGTCAGCTGGAAGGACGTTCAGAAGGTCGTTCGGTTGTCCAATCTAATTAGCATATTATGCTTTTATTATTATAGATAGATGTTTTAATACCCAGAGCAACCGTTAAGAAGTAATACACTCAGTCCTGACCGGTTTGGCTCAGTGGATAGAGCGTCGGCCTGTGGACTCAAGGGTCCCAGGTTCGATTCCAGTCAAGGGCATGTACCTTGGTTGCGGGCACATAACCAGTAGGGAGTGTGCAGGAAGCAACTGATCGATGTTTCTCTCTCATCGATGTTTCTAACTCTCTATCCCTCCCCCTTTCTCTCTGTAAAAAATCAATAAAATATATATATATGTATATATATAAACTAGTGAGACTAATTTTTTAAAAAAAGAAGTAATACACTCAAAATTATAGAGATGGAGAACAGATTAGTGGTTGCCAGGGGATGAACGTGGGGGACAGAGTGGCCATGACTATACAGGGTAGCAGAGAACCTGATGATGAACTGTTCTGTATTTTAAATACAGTGGAGGTCACATGAATCTTCACATGTGATGAAATTGCACAGAACTAAACACACACACATACAAAAACACAAATTAATGGACATAAAACTGGTGAGATAAGAATAAGTCTGTAGATTATGTCAATATCAACTTACTAGTTCTGATGTACTAGGAATATGCAAGAGGTTACCCTTTGGGAACTGGGGGAAGGGTATACAGAATCTCTCTGCATGTTTTCTTACAATAGCATATGAATCTACAATTATCTCAAAATAAAAAACTTTTTAAAAAAATCTCAAGAAAAAATATAGTATATTAGAGTGAAAACAATTCTGGCTTATTTAAAATCTTGGATAAACTAAAGAGACTAAGCAATAAACCAAACCTTTTCCCTAAATCCCTTGTTAGAAGTTGAGGTGGAAAGAAAGGACATGTGGTTTCAGTCTGGGTTCCATAGCTCTGCAACCCACAAGTTCTGTAACATCAACACAAAATACTACTATGAAATATTCAGAGAATATTGTGTTTTGTTTAAAAATAGTAATTGAATTGTTTTGCTAAGTATACAAGCAATGCATATTTGTTATGGAAAATTTAGAAAATGAAGGCAGATAATGAGAATAAATAAGAATCATAAAACCCAGTAATTATATCGTCTTATGGCCATTTTTTTCTAAGCTTACATGTGGATTTTGGAGGGTGGAAAGAAGCTAGATTAGATTACGTTCTAAATCAGGAATCAGCAAATTACAGCCACAGTCAAATCCAGCCAAACACCCATTTTAGTACAGCCTTCCAGTGGATTTTTATATTTTTATATGTTTATAAACCTACACAATATCCTCTTGACCTTTATAGAAAAAGCTTGCCAGTCCCTACTCTACACAGAATTTTTGTAAAAAGCTTTTTTCAATTAAAAACATAATATAACTCCTTATTTCTGGATATTTAGCCTGTTCCAAATTTTTATATTATAAACAAAGTTGTAACGAATACTATTTTCTAATTAACTATTTTAAACATGTTTATAATCATTATTTTCTAAATAAATTATTTTATGGTAAAACAGGAATTTTAATAAAATTATTAATGTTATATGTAAATTAGCTAGACAATTATCTCTTCTCCATAAAAGAAAGCAAAGTTCAAAGATTCTGAAATTGATACTACTTTTCCTACAAGTTGAGTAAGTCCAACTGTAACATCACCCAAAATATCATCTTATACATCGGCAGGAGTTCAAAGGAAGTTTTTGGGGTTTTTTTAACGCTGTCCACTTATACAAAGATACATAGAGGAAGAGTCTGGCATTAAATTAGAGAGAGAACAATTACTTTGGAGGCAGTAGTTGAACAAGAAGTTCGAAGAGCAAGGTTTAAAGTCAGATCACTGGGTTCAAATTCATTTTATCAGCCCAGTGACCAGGGGCAATTTAACTAAACACTGTTTCTTCACCTTGAAAAGGAATTTTTTAAAAACCCTTCCTTATATATCACTTTTTTCTCCTTAAAATGAAATCTTTAATACAACTTAGCTCCCAGCAGCTTTTAAGGTAACTACTTCCCTTTGGATTTTATAAAATAAAATTTCAATGACTCAGAAATTATACCAATGAGCACGCGATACTTATTAAAAGAGTGATAAAAGGATAAATATTGCAGAACCAACAGCGGTTATTTTTTTAAATAGGTTTTTTGATGTCAAGATTCGTTTGTAAAACTTTCCATCAATTTTCTCACTGCCAACATGCTTCACGTTACAATATTGTTCAAGATCAGAAGAAAACTTTTTGTTCCTTTTCCTGTTTGTTTTTTAAACTAATCCATTAAAATTTTTTAAAGACAACTGGCCTGTTCTTTCCCAAAGCTCAACTACCTATGGCCCTACTTTACCACCCGAGCCTTGGGAAGGCTGTGTTTATTAGCCCTGCAGAACAAGTTTATGATAACCTGGTTGGTTAGCTAGACATCCCCAGGCTCCTGAATCACCACCTTACCTCAGACTCATCAGAAGATTCTTCAAGAGACACGGTTTCCTACAAAGCAAAGAGGGGGGAAATGGTCAGAATAATGACAAAATAATAAAAAAATATTTTCAAGGGAAAAGAGTTCATATGTCCTCACCAGTATCCACCTGCCCTTTTCTGAAGGTATCTGCAAATACAATGTAAAGGATTCCACATGGTCCAACTCTCACAGAACTCCTACTTCTCCACACCCTGCAGGACTGAGTGTGGTCAGGAGGTTAACAAATTGTCATGTGAGCAAGCAGAAGGCTCTTCTCTTACAAAAAATGCAAATCGCTCTGGCAAAGCAGCCTTACTGATCTCAGAAAGGAAGAGGAAAACTGCCATCTCAAAATATCTACGAGCCAATTTTTATACTGAAAAGCTCTTGTGCTATTAATTATTATGCTATTCATCTGGTTGAGTCAAAATGATTGTCTTCCTTAAACGTTTACAAAAGAATTCCCCTAGAGTGGTACCTATCAGACACGGGGCAAACAAGCTGTATAATTTATATCCACTCTTTAAACCATTAACTGGAAGACAAATTCTGCCATTTAACACAGTTTCCTTCTTGCGAGACAATGAATCTTGCTGCTCTGTGGAAAACAAAGCAAAAAGGGGAAAAATTGACTTGATCCTGCTAATCTCTCACCTGTCCACTGAAAAAGAGAATCTGCTGATGCCATGCATCCTCAAAGAGGTCAGCAAAATGAAGATTTACTTAACGTGCTTATAGATATCAACAGCAATAAAAGGCTACAACTAATACGCTGACACAGAATGTAAGCATTTCACAACAATCCATGAGATAAAGAAAGAACAAAAAAAATTGAGGCAAGGGCATAATATTGTTTTAGACATAACAATTTTTTTCCCAACAAAAAGAATGAACATTTTTTTTAAAAGTTAGATGCACATATTACTCAATGTAAATTGGATAGCAGGATAAATGCAAATCTGGTGTTTTAAAACATTTTAGGTTCATTCATGGAAAATCAGTAAGAACCCGGCAGGTGGCAGGCTGCCTGGGCATCAGTCTAGTGGACAATTTAGCCTCTGCTCTCAAAAAATATCTGGCCCTGACCGGTTTGGCTCAGTGGATAGTGCATCGGCCTGCGGACTGAGGGGTCGCGGGTTCGATTCCGGTCAAGGGCATGTACCTTGGTTGTGGGCACATCCCCAGTAGGGGGTGTGAAGCAGTTGATCGATGTTTCTCTCTCATCGATGTTTCTAATTCTCTATCCCTCTCCCTTCCTCTCTGTAAAAAATCAATAAAATATATTTTTTAAAAAAATCTGTAAAGTGGGATGAAATTCCTTGTAATTAAGACTTTTATTGCAGTTACATCATTAACCATGATGAATATGAGACTCTTCTTTACATTCCAATGCACCTATTTAGTTTAATGTTATTCTAAGTATTAGGATGTTCTTACTACTTTGGAGCTACAATCTCTCCACAGTAACTTTTTATTCTTAACACCAATAAGACCCAGGAAAAAATCCAATTATTCTACTACTATCTGACTGTCCTCCAAGAGTTAATGATACATATCATGCCTACCCTTCTAAATTATCTTTCCTCTGTGCTAACCATCCCCAGTTTCAGGTTTGAGTCCACTTGCCATCCTTACCCTTCACTCTTCTGAACATACCCTCACTTAATATTAACAGCCACTATTCTGACATCTTTACTGAGCATCTATTATATATATTTTCATAATGCTAAATGCTTTACAGGTAGCCTCTGAAAATTTCCTCACTACCCCTGCAGTAGGAACACTGAGGCTTAGAGGATGAACTTCCACAGTTCCCGAGTATTACGTTGTTAGCATTAGCCGAAACAAGCTTTGACAACTGTGCCAATGAACCGGACATAGGTTCCTATTTCCCAACTCTAGAACTCTGAAACAAGACTGGACTACTCTTTTCAGAAAAATTACATTAAACCGGAGGAATTTTTTTTCTTATTTGGACTCCATTAAAGTATGCACAAGGGGGAAAGCGCAGAGATCCCGTTACATTCTTGATTAAAAAAAGACTGAAGGCCCCACTCAGCAATTTCAATCCAAAACCAGATTACACTCTAGCTCCCCACCAGAACGCAGTCCGATCTCAGAAACCTGCGTCGTCAGGTTTAGAGGCGCTTCCTGTGACTGCCAGGACCCACCAAGAACATTTACTCCAGGTCTCGCTCAGACTTGTGCGCCCCAGCACAAACCTCGCAAACAAAATCACCTTTTCCCACAATTCTACCAAAGTAACGCAGGAGTGACTTTGAGAATTAGCCTGCTCTGTTATTTCTTAGCTTCATTTATTCATCAAGCCCTATGCTTAATGCTCTAGAGGAGTGGTTCTCAACCTGTGGGTCACGACCCCTTTGGCGGTCGAACGACCCTTTCACAGGGGTCGCCTAAGACCATCCTGCATATCAGATATTTACATTACGATTCATAACAGTAGCAACATTACAGTTATGAAGTAGCAACGAAAATAATTTTATGGTTGGGTCACAACATGAGGAACTGTATTTAAAGGGCCAGAAGGTTGAGAACCACTGCTCTAGAGCTAGGCAAGTAAGAAATGACATGAACATCCCAGTGAGGGATCCTAGAAACAACGGTGAACCCTGAGAATCATTATAATTTAGAAAACCAGCAGTTTTCAAAAATTTTTTTCTCTTAAATACATTTTTATTGATATCAGAGAGGAAGGGAGAGGAGAGAACAACAGAAACATCAATGATGAGAGAGAATCATTGATTGGCTGCCTCCCACATGCCCCCTACTGGGGATCGAGCCCACAACCCAGGCATGTGCCCTAGATCAGAATCGAACCCAGGACGCTTCAGTCCCCAGACTGACGCTCTATCCACTGAGACAAACCAGCTGGGGCAATTTTCAAAAAAATTTTAAGTACACACCCTATCTTTCAAATAACCTAACTTCAAATCATGAAAATGTAAGTTATGAAACTGTGCTGTTCTCTAAGTAAAATAAGCCAGAAATACAGATTTTTATGTGGAAGTCTTTTTAAAAAATATTTTTATTGATTTCAGAGGGGAAGGGAGAGGGAGAGAGAGATAGGAACATCAATGATGAGAGAGAATTATTGATCAGCTGCCTTCTGCATGCCCCATACTGGGGACCAAGTCTGCAACCCAAGCATGTGCCTTGACCAGAATACAAAATGACAAATATTCTAGGATTACTGTTATATGAGACAGTAAAATAGAGGTGAGCAAGGCTGGGGGAGGGAGTAATGAAGGGTACAGAGTTTCAGTGTGAGCTGATGAAAAGTTGTTGCGATGGATGCTGGTGATGACTGAACAACAATGTGAATGTACTCAATGGCACTGCACCATCCATTTAAAAATGGTTAAAGTGGTAAATATGGTATGTATATTTTCCCACAATAAAAAAAAATTGTGCTGTTCTGGTTATTAGCAAAAATGGTAGGCAGCTGATCAATAATTCTCTCTCATCATTGATGTTCCTATCTCTCTCTCCCTCTCCCTTCCCCTCTGAAATCAATAAAAATATTTTTTAAAAAGACTTCCACATAAAAAGTGGAAGTATAAAAAGTATTTCTGACTTCATATAAAAATCAGTCTACATGTTTACCAGAATCTACATTTCCATATAACATCAGTTGGAGCTGAGCAGCTATACCCATAAGACAGAACGCACTTAACCCATCACTACCTGTAACTCCTGATTTCCTTATATCAAGACAATCCCACCCATTTCCATTGCCATGTGCCTGCCTTGAACTTGTGAAGTTTGCACTGAGTCTTTCCTAAGTGCTTCCCTCAGCTTAGAAGGCCCTTGGCCCAACTCTACACTCACCTTAGCAGTCTTCCAACTCCCAGCATGCTCTACAGGTTCAAGGAAACCCACAAGGGTACCTCCGGGAGGTAGGTAGTCAACAACAGAGTTCTAACTTCATGGTTTATATTTTCATGTTGCCAATTACTGCTTTGTGTTGTGTGTTTTTTGGGTTTGAAATGTACTGGCTGTTTCTAAATCCTAACCTTTCTTCCCAACTTACGTCTCACCTCTTTCACATAATTGTCTCTAGTGAGCCAAAGACACAAGGTCCAGACCTGGGCTCCTGTGGCCTTTGTTTCTTCCTATAACCCTCAGCTCACACGTAACATTAACAGCCTTATCCTAAGTTATCCTTTAAAATACACTGTAGCTAAGCCCAAATGCTTTTGTCTCTTGTCTCTCATTATCCTACCCAAAGGAGCAGTTCAACACCATTTCCTGGTGATGATGATAAAAAATAAGCAACCGATCCCTCCTCTATATATTCCTTTTCCACTTAGGAGCGATAGCAGGTGCTTTTTCTCCAGGCAGATGCTTCAGTTAGCTTATGGCTACAGGAGGGGGCTTGGAGGAAGACAGCAGCAAACAAGGGTAGAGAGATTCAAATGGAAAGTTAACCACCTAGCAACCGCCCAGGAAAGAAGATAATTGGGTTCTCTGATGACCCTTCCAATAAAGGCTTTCAAACTATCCTCACCCCTAATCCCAAGACATGGGAGAAGACTCAGCCCAGCTGGCCTCAGAGGCAGGAGGGGAAGGAAGGCTGTCATCCCAGAAGGTGAGAGAGAAGCCAGGCTCTCCCCGGTTGTGAAGTCCTCAGAATTTTGAGGATATTCACACTGTGGGTTGTGGGCGATGAAGGGAACTTGGGAGAGAAATGGGAGGCTGGAACTTGATGAAGGCCACTCCAAGCTCTACAGGATGAAGAAACAGAACAGAGACCAGGGCCCAGGAAATCAGACATTAAACACTCCTTCCCAGCAATGTGTGTGACACAGTAGAGCTTAATGGAAAAGACAGTGTGATAGCTCTCAATGTCTGACACAGGCACAAAAAAAGGAGTCTTTTGTGTGATAGGTATTTGATATCCTTGTGTCACAAAGCCACAATTTCAAAAAGTTTTGGGGTACCCAGGGACTAGGCTGGTTTAGTAGGTAAGATTTTAAAATATCTGGGGAGCGAGCAGTAGCAAGAAGACTCAGGTTACCAAATCTGTTCAACCCGCTAGCCTTAGCTACTGCACTCATCTCATTCAGCACGTGAAGAAGTATCTTGACACCTGCTTCAGCGTGGTGGCTTAGTGACCCAATCCCAAATCTGACTTTGCGTCAGAATCATCTAAACTCAATTGGGGGATTGGCTAATACCTTTTAATACACTCTATCTTCACAGATTCTGATTGAGTGGGTATTTATAGAGCCTAGAATCACAAGCATTTCGTAACAAAAACATGAGGAGGACCAAGTTTCTAGAAGAAAAAAGGGCAACAGTGACTGGGCAGCCATGCATGGGGAGCTGCATGAAACCCGGAAGACCCTAATCTGCCAAGGGCTCCCTCTCCAAGGGAGCAATGTGGCTGCTGGGAGGCTGCTAATAGCCAGCTGGTGACAGCGGCCTTCAGCCAACCAACCCAGACCAATATGAGAGAAAAAAACTTACAAGGCCATGAGCATGCCCAGCTAAGCTAAACTGTGACCACACTTTCATTACATGACAGTGAAGAGTGGGCCATCAAAAAATTCTCTCTGAAACATTACTTTCACAACTTATTTGGGGCTTCTTTTTTCCTTTACTTAAAAGCAAAGTTGCTTTTGTAAGTCTGTCTTGGCCAAACTGTAAGAGAAGAGAGGCGTGTATACCTAAGACAAGCCCACATTTGGATGATAAATCATTGTCCTCTTTATAAGACAGCCATTTTAATCTGGCCACTTTAAAATGCTTTATGTCATACTCACAAGAGCCCTGGAGGGTACAATCGCCAATTTACAGACAAGGAAACTGAGGCACTCAATTATTTACTGACTTGATTTTTATTTTACAACATGGGGCACAACCATATGGGAGTATACAAGCTCATGAATGTGCCTCGGATAATATGTAAATGCTCTACCATAAGGATAGAATTTCCCTAATTTCTAAAACATAGACAGAGAAGTCAAAAAGAAACTTCCCCAATTGGCTAAGAAGTAGATGGTCTGATTGATCAACTATTTCAACAGACTAGGTTCCCTGCTGTAGGAAAGATGAAAGGGTACTTGGGGAGCTGGCAGAGTAAGGAGTCTACGTAGGAAAAGTAATCTACAATACATTTAAATTAATAACTTTCAAAAGTTTCAAGTAAGATAAAATAACAATCCAAATTCTACTGGACCTCACTTACAATTTGACATTTTCAATTCAGAAGGCTATTCTCTCCTCATAAATTCATTTACACATTTTATTTAGACCTAGTAGTTGTAAAGCACTAGCCCTGTGAGAGTTACAGACACGAGTGAGCTCTAGTCCTTTATTCTTGAAGACTCAGCAATCTGTGGAAGAGACAAGATAAATACACAAACAACCAGACCTCAAGCAGAATGTTATTCATAAGTGAGGTATGGACAAATACTGAGGGGCATCTGTGATTATGAAGGTCAACTATAAATCATTTTGGTGCTAGATAAAACGGCTGTTTAGAAGATTTCCAGGCAGAAGGCAGGGTATTAGCTCTTCCTTGTATAACATATGTAGGTATTTGGGGGAACTACCTTTACCATACTCAGCATAAACAAAGATATCCCAATAACGCTTAAAAATGTTTATTCGTATCCAAAAAGTGATTTTTAGTTTGAGAGTCTATGAACTGTTTTATGTTTCGTTAACTCGCTCAGTATATTGGTTCTTCCTAAAATTAAAGGGGAGGGCAAGCAATCACCAAAGAATACACGCTCAGAAACGTTAAGAGGAGAGGTTTCGTTTCGTCTTCCTGATCATGGAGGGCTGTTTGCATTTACAGTAAAAAAGCTTCCTTTGCCCTAACCTGTCATCAGTTACTTTAAAACACACCTCACTGCTTCAAGCATTCAGAAGAGAAAAATTATGTCAAGATTTTCTAAAACATTCAGAGTATCAAAACGGAACAATTAGCAAATTCACTTAACTCCACTTTTGAACCCTGTCAGCCCTCAAAAACACGTATAATAAAGGCCTTACTATCTTAGTTGAGATTTTAATGGCTTCCTACTGTAAAATGTGAAATGCACACACGAGCAGAGTGGGAAAAGTCTAACTATTTTTAGTCTATAGATTAAATACAGGTACAATTATTTATTAGCTTTCTTGAAAAAAATAAACAGGACAACCATTTGTGAATGTTCGCTTCTTTCTGCTATTAATCATGAGCTTTGAAATTAGATGACTGGAGATTTATTATAGATACAAGTATGAGCAAGTAAATGAAGTTGCCTGGATTTCTACTGTTTACCTGGAAAATACTATCCTTTAATATGTATTGCTTATCAAGCACTACTCTATGTGGCAGGCAAACAGTCATGAACAAATCTTTGCCATCATGGAGCTTACATTCTAATGGCGAGAATATACCGAAATGAATACAGAAACATAGAGAATATACAGAAAAAATAGACGAGCACGAAGAAAAAAAATAATGCAGAAGAGTTGCAAAGCATGGTCAGGGAACACTTGGGTCCGGCCGGTATGGCAAAGTGGTTGAGTGTCGACCCATAAACCAAGAGGTCACTGGTTGATTCCTGATCAGCGCAATACCTGGGTTGCTGGTTTTATCCTTGGTCAGAGGGCATATGGGAGGCAACAGATCGATGTTTCTCTCTCTCTCTCTCCCCCTCCCCCTTAAAAAATCAATAACCATATCCTCAGGAGAATAAAAATGAAAAATAAAAAATATAACACTTGGATAAAGACAAAGGGGATGAGGGAGAAAACCCTGTTGATATCTCGGGTCAAAAAAGGGTACAGCATGAACAAAGACCTTTAGGTAGAAACATGCCATGTTTGTTGAAGGAACGGTAAGAGAGCCAGTCTAGCTGATGCAAAATGATAGAAGGGAAAGAAAAACAGTGAAAAATTAGGTCAGAAAACAGGGACAGCGCAATTGGGGCAAGGTCCTGTAGGGCAACTAGGCCATTACAAAGCCGTTGGCTTTCCCTCAGAGTGCAATGAGAAGGACCAGAAAGTTTGGAAGTAGGAGGTGCTTGTCCTGACATATACATCAGAACATTTACCACACAGAATTCTTTTCTGAGGACCAAATGCGAATGTGAAAGGATTCTTTAAATTGAAAAGTGCTGTACAAATTCAAAGCATTCTTATTGTACCACTAACTTTATGCATGTCTTTCTCCATCAGACAGGTTGGCCAAACACCTGCACAAAACCGTAGTGAATGCCAAGAACAACTGTCTCCATTTCTGCCACCCTATACCTAAGAACATAGGAGCTTCCTTTTTTCTTGCTTTTAAATCAAACCACCAAAAAACTGTATTTCAATATGAAAGGTGAACAGTATTAAAACCAATCTCAGCACTATCATCAAACCCAACAATGTGTCATGAGATGACACGTGCTTAATGAGCATTTTCCTTTGAACTGCCTACAACAGAAAAGGGAGGCTCCAGTGGTAAGTAGAGACTCTTACCGGCACTGACCACACAAACAAATTTTCTACCTTATTTCTTAATTAATGTGTACAAAGGGCAGATTCTCATTATGTAAGTAAAGTATGTTGCCAATGGTACAAATTATAAACTCCATAAGCTTCTGTTATTATGATACTAAACAGCTTATCATCAAATCCCTTCTTAGAGGCAATTCTGGATACTGGTGGCCCTGTTAATTTGTGAGGAAATGCAGTGCTAGGCTTAAAAATGGCCCCGGAAATGGAAAATGAAGGTATTTCCCCAGGCTCTGGACTTTCTCTGCTCTTTTTGTCTTATTTATGTTACTCTGGCTACTATTGCCTGTAATGAATACAACTGTATCACAATCACTAATTTCTATCCTAAACTCCAGTGCCAGTTTGCCATGGGTTGGCTGGACATTGCCCTCTGACCTTCCGCCAGCAAAAAATCACTCCTCTCCTAACTTTATGCCCAACTTTGACTAAGCACTTCAACGTTGTGTACCAATTCATTCCAACTTAAACCACCTTCCAAAGACGGCACTATATTATCTCTATCTTATACGATCTTATCTATCTTATTTCGATCGTGTATCTCCATCTTTAAATAGCTTATATTTACAAGTTAAATAACTAGCCCAAAGTCACATAGTAAGACAGAGAACAGCGCAGGAGCCCAGTCATTTCTGCTCTAGGACAGATGCACGTAGCCGCCACTACACGCCACAGTGACCCGGCTGTGTGTCTAAAGGCAATAGATGCGAAACGAACATCTATTACTTTCTCCCAGCCCTCCTGCCAACCGCTCCCATGGCCCTCCTTGGAGTGGAAAGGAATTGAAACTCGCTTCCTAGCCTCAAAACTCAAGTCATCTGTCACGCCTCCCGTGGGCAGTCAGTCCCTGCCGTAGCCCAGGCTGCCTCCAAGCTACTGGGCACAGGCCACGGGGCAGAGCAGAGCGAAGAGACAGCTGGCAAACCCTGGGGGTGTGTCGGTGGCTCTCCCAGGTGCCGTCAGAGAACCGGCATCCCACCGCGTCTCCGCTCCCGAACGGCCTTTCCCTGCCGTCCGCCCGCCCGCCCTGCCCGGCCCTCCCGCAGCTCCGCACCTCCACGCGCCCCTTTCCAAGGCCCGGCCACTACACCTTCGTTTACCCTTTCCTTGCCCAGCAGTTGTAGCCTTTACCTGCTCCTCGGCTTCCGCCATGGTGCAGCTGGGGAGTCATGTGACATACCCGGAAATGAGAGAAAAACCAGAGCCCGAGGCGCAGGGCCTGCTGGGAAATGTAGTTTCAGCAGCATCTGAGCCTGGACATCTTTTCTATTTGGTGAGGTTATTAGGTCTTTGTTTCTGCTTCCAACTCTCCAGGCTTAATGAAGTTATGCTTTGGAGAATCTGAACATAACCGTTGTTGATGTTTTATTTTGTTGTTGCCCTTATTTTTCCGTGATAATTATAATATATAATATTTACTTATATTTACTATGTATCAGTAAATATAAAAAACTGGATTTACAGTTTTGCATGAATTATCTCATTTAATCCTTCCAGAAATCCCTACTATTATCCCCACTTATAGAGGAGAATACCGTGCCTCAGAGGTCACAAAAAGCTAATAAGAGACAGAAATAAAATTTAAATTTGGCCTCGCCTGATGCTAAAGACTTGACTACCAAGTGCCACTTAGTCTAAAAGTGTTCTTGTAATTTTAAAAAAGCATACTAAGTGAATATAAAGCAGTCTTTGCAGAAGAGAACCAAAGAATAGTTTATACTCCAAAAATATTTATTTGGATTCTACTGCTTGTTGCTTTAAGTTGACATTTTCTTCTGAGGGCTCTTCTGGAATCTGGACATTGACATTAAAAATCTCTGTTGTTCAAATTATTTATTAAACTTGCATTGAGTATATTCCATAGATAAATATTTGAAATGAAATAAAAATTTATCCTTGGTAAAATCTGTAAAACCACTGTATTACTTACAACTTTTAGAATGAATGATTCCCTCTCCATGTTTCCAGGCATTTTAAATTCACCTTCCTAATCCTCAGGAATTTATAGTATCTTATCCAAACACAGAGATTTTATTCTTTCCCACTCATCTCCAGCAGCTGATAACTAAAGAGGGCATCACATATGGCAGCTGGTGGTGTGTGCCCAGTACCCTTTTGGACTCTGTCCTTATTGACTCTGACCTACCAAGAAGTCATGGACTTAGTATTCTGTGCCTCCCAGGTCTCTAGCTGCAGGGTGACTTCATCTGAGACACTTGTCTTCTCCCCTGGGCCGTAAAAGCCGTAGCTCCATCCTCTTCCTCCGAGACTTGCTGGAATCCCTCTTCCAGTTTGCTTATCACTAAGTCACAAGAGAATAATGAAAGACCAACCCCAAAGCATTTAGATATCCATAGCCAAGCACCCAATGCAGTAAGACCTTTTCTCACAAAGCAGCACCCAATAGTGCCCATGATGGGCTTCGAGTCCCACAAGGATTCTCGTACACAGACTAAAGAGGCTGTGGAAACCCTCAGTCAAGTCTCCACAGGAAAAATAAGAAAATACCCTAGTCCCTCTACTTTTCTGACTTTCCTCACACACTGTAATTTTCCCTTATGAGATAGGCCTAGCCACACACTTTAGTGGGTCTGATTGAAGAGGTAGTCAAAGTTCACTGCAGATTCTCCCCTGCTCACACATCCTCAGAGACTCTGGATCCCTCCAGTCTGTTCCCCATTCAGTGTTCTGTTTTGACGGTAATAAATACAATGAGCACTGAATCTATTACAACAGTGGTTCTCAACCTTGCTGCACATTAGAATCACCTGGGAATCTTTTTAAAATCCTGATTTCTACCCTAGCCGGTTTGGTTCAGTGGGTCATAAAATCCTGATTTCTGGGCCTCATCCTCCGGAAATTCTGTTTCTTTGTTATGGGGTGAGGCCACAACATTAGTAATAAATAAACAGCATTTCTGGAGGATGAGGCGCAGAAATCAGGATTGTATGACCCACTGAACCAAACCGGCTAGGGTAGAAATCAGGATTTTAAACAGATTCCCAGGTGATTCTAATGTGCAGCCAAGGTTGAGAACCACTATATTACAATGTCCTTTGGGACGGACTAGAAAGGTGAAAAGACACATATGAAAGATGACTTAGAGGAAGAAACCCACTAGAGGCAAGCAGGTTCATGCTGGGCCCATGAGCAAGATGAAATTCACATATGACCTCCAAGCCCCAAGTTTCCTCAGGTGAAATGAAAGTTTGGGGCTCCCTTATCTAAGTGGTTCTCTAGCCTCCTACTACTCAAAGTGTGATCCACAGGCCAAAGGCATCAATATTACCTAGGAGCTTGTTTGAAATTAAGGGCTTATGGCCTCTCCATAGACCTACTGAACCAGAATCTGGATTTCAATAATATCCTCAAGTGATATTTACATTAAAATTTGAGAAATGTTGGACTTAACAGTCTTTCCTTCTCTGGAAAATTACCTGTTTCTTTCTTGTACATCATCAATTCACCTTTCTCACCTTCAATCTATGGAGGTGAGGGTAAGGGTCAACTTCTCATTCACAGTATATAGAACCTAATATTGTGAAGTGACTTCAAACCATACCTAAAACAATTTGAAATTGTGCTTGCTTGAGCAGTACATATACTAAGAATTTAAAATTAAAAACACAATACCATTTACATTAGCACCTCAAAAATTAAATACTTAGCTATAACACTAACAAAATATGTACAAGATTTATATGGGGAAAACTACACAACTCTGATGAATGAAATTAAAGAACAACTAAATATACCATGTTCTTGAATAGGAAGATTCAATATTGTTGACAGGTCAGTTCTTCCCAATGCTGTCTACAAACTCCATGCAATTCCAATAAAAATTCCAGAAAATTATTATATGGATATCAACAAAATGATTCTAAAGTTTTATAGAGAGGCAAAATATCCAACACAATATTAAAGGACAAGAGCAAAGCTGTTGGGTTGATGCTACTCAACTCCAAGATTTACTATAAAATTATGGCAATCAAGACATGGGTATTGGTGAAAGATCAGACAAACAGATCAATGGAACCGATTAAGACATGATCCACAAAGAAATCATTGTTAAGCTGAATTTCATTAAAATTAAAAACCTCAGCTTTGTGAAAGACAATGTCAGGAGAATTAGAAGACAAGCCAGAGACTGGCAGAAAATATTTGCAAATGGCACATTTGATAAAGAATTTACCCAAAATATACAAAGAACTCTTAAGAAAACATACAACTTGATTATAAAAATTGGACCAAAAACACAACACCATTGACATTAGCACCTCAACAAACATCTAGCTAAACAGACATCTAACTAAAGTAGACATAGATGGCAAATAAGCATATGAAAAAGATTCTCCACATCATAAATTATCAGGGAAATGCAAATTAAAACAACCATGAGATACCACTACTCACTGATAAGAATGTCCAAAATCTGGAACACTGGCAACAGCAAATGCTGGTTAAGATATAGAGCAATAGGAATCCTCATTTATTGCCAGTGGGGGTGCAAAATGATACTTTGGGATTATTTTTCCATATTATTTTTCTCATATGAATATACAGGGTAGTATCTATGTGTGAGTGTTAAACATAATTTGGATTATACTCTACAGTTCTGTAGAACTTTTTTTTACTTATTAACATATAAAAAATGTAATTTCACACAAGTAAAATATATAGAGAGCTACATAATTGTCTGTGCTCGTATAGTCTTCTACCAAATTGATTATTATAATTTATGCACCTATCCCCCACTTTTGAATATTACTTTCAATATTTTGTTATTATAAACCACATATGGTGAACATTGTGTCTTTGCACACTTGTACAATTCATAAATACTTCCTTAGAAAAATGTGCAGAAATAGAATGGATTGGTCAGAGGACCTTTGAAGTTGTTATAAGAAGAGTTCTGTGGAAATAGCAAGAATATACTAATGTGCTCATTTTGAATACTGTAGTAAATCTTGTATTCATCCTTCAGATTCCTATTATATGTCTCACTAACAAATATTTCAAAGGCCATCTGTTTGAGTTTTCCCCAGACATAGGCTGCTTATGTGCAATCCATTTACTGAACTTCTTTCATATTTTTGACAGGAAAGCACAAAACTAATTTTTTAACTTAAAGCATGAATTCAATCTGTTCTGAATCCAGGTGTTTAGCTGTGCCAAGAAAATGTATTATTTTATAGAGAATCTTTCATTTTCAATCAAAATTTTGAAACAAAATACTTAAACACATCCTGCCATTGGATCCAAATATCATTTGTGAAACAAGGTCCATTTTTCAGCAAGAATCCAATTTCAAGGTATGTTTGTGGAACAAGAGCCTTTCTCTTCCATATATATGAGTCCTTCAAACACAAAGACACAAACATTGAAAAAGAGGAAGAGGAGAAAAAGGGAGGAGGAGGAAGGGTTGGCTACACTACATGAAAGCAATGGCGGTTCTCAATTGTCTTCCAAATTTTAACATAACCAGTATGTTAATTAATTGAAATCTAATGTTTACCTTTTTGTATAGACAGTAATGTACATGTTGTTTAGCCAAAAAACTATTTAATCCACAGTACTATTGAATCTATATATGTTAGGAAAGAGAAAACGTAACTGTTGTAGTTCCAGTAATTACATAAAGTAAAAACATCAAGATGTCGGTTTAATGGTTTTGTAGTTTTCATGCAGAAAACTACACTTAATCATCACAAGATTTTGTTTTTTACTTCATTGTGTTTCTACTGGACTTCAGTCATTTATGGAAATGTGACAACCAAGGGGCTTAGTCACCATTTATGGTAGTCACCATCTAGGGTCCTTTGATTGTAGCTTTAACTATGACAGGGAAAGCCTTATCCCTTAAAAAGAGAGCATATTAAGAAGACTACAAGGGGGAGGGGT